AAAAAATTAGTTGGCCTTTTTCAGTTGTTTGCTGCCGATCAAAGGCAAACGGCTTACGAAAAGGAGCGGGCGGAATATGAGCGCTGCATAAAAAGGTTGAAGGACAGCGAGATGTTGGCAATAAGTGAGGTGTGCTCTTATTCAGTAAAAGCTATGAAGTGAAATGAAAATCTTCCTTCCATTTTCTAGATTTCTGACTTGAAAGACCAAATCTCACGTATTTTGGAAAGAGAAGCCAAGGGCAATGAACAAATAAAATCTATGCACTCGACAATTGTGGAATTAAAGGCTCAACTTTTGTCAAAATCAAGCCAACTGAATCAGTTGACTGAGGCGGTAGAGATTTTATGAAGACGCGTATATAATCAGAAATTTTGATACGATCTACATTACAGCTGGAGGACTCATTGTCCGCAAATGTGCATCATGCAGAAATGCTTGCAAATGTTAAGAATAATTTTATTGAGAAAGTGGAGAACGCAAGATTTAAAGAGGTGATTTACAATTTTGTGGTAAAGACTGCTTTGATATCTTTCAAATAAGCTCTCTATATTTCTTATAGTGGATGAAGAGCTTTATCTCCGTTTTTAAGATGATTAAATCAAGAGAATGTAATGACTTGCGCCTAGAGGTCCTTAAGAAAGAAAGGGAAGTGAAGGAACTTAAATTGGAGTTGGCGCAGTTGAAGGTTTGTATATGAAAGAATTTATTGACTTATGTAAAAGCTACTACTATTTAAATTCCTTAAGGTTGTTTGTGACATCAATCGGCAAGCGCATAGCTCACAGACGTCTGCATGTGATATTGAGGTAAAGAGTTATCAAGTGTGATTTACTAGTTAATCTCGCCATGGTCTACTTTAAAATTTTTGCATAAAGTAAATTGAGCAAAACATGTATGGAAGAAACGAGAAAGTAATGTGACACAGGAAGCATCTAAAGATAGATTTTGAAATAACCCATTCATTTAGTTCTTCAGTAGCTTCAGTTCCCTATATCGTTCAAAAAAAGCTGCCAAC